GTTGTCAACCATTCGTGGATTCCCCAATTGCAAACTAAGTACAAATCAGAACGCATTGGGGAGGAGGGGGGCGGATTCATAGAAAAAAGTGTCACCTGACACATGTTTGGAAATTGACATCATGCGAGGTTGTCACCCATTCGTGGATCCACCAATCGCAATCCAAGTACAAATACGAATGCATGGGGGAGGGGTGGATTCACAGAAATTCCCCAAAAGAAGTTCTGCATTTCTACGTGTGGGATGATTTTGCACATGCCTGATAGTCTGATATACACATCTTGTTCTTCAGGTCAATAGAACAATCAACAGCCACACAGTAGCAACAGCTGTTTCACAATACCAGCCACTTGCAGACAATACTTTATCAGGTCAATACAACAATCAACAGCCACACAGTAGCCACAGCTGTTTGACAATGCCTGCCACTTGCAGACAATACTTTATCAGGTCAATACAACAATCAACAGCCACAAAGTAGCCACAGCTGTTTGACAATGCCTGCCACTTGCAGACAATACTTTATCAGGTCAATACAACAATTAACAGCCACACAGTAGCCACAGCTGTTTGACAATGCCTGCCACTTGCAGACAATACTTTATCAGGTCAATACAACAATCAACAGCCACACAGTAGCCACAGCTGTTTGACAATACCAGCCACTTGCAGACAATACTTTATTTGGTCAATACAACAATCAACAGCCACACAGTAGCCACAGCTGTTTGACAATGCCTGCCACTTACAGACAATACTTTATCAGGTCATTACAACAATCAACAGCCACACAGTAGCCACAGCTGTTTGACAATGCCTGCCACTTGCAGACAATACTTTATCAGGTCAATACAACAATCAACAGCCACACAGTAGCCACAGCTGTTTGACAATGCCTGCCACTTGCAGACAATACTTTATCAAGTCAATACACCAATCAACAGCCACACAGTAGCCACAGCTGTTTGACAATGCCTGCCACTTACAGACAATACTGTATCAGGTCAATACAACAATCAACAGCCACACAGTAGCAACAGCTGTTTCACAATGCCAGCAACTTGCAGATAATACTTTATCAGGTCAATACAACAACCAACAGCCACACAGTAGCCACAGCTGTTTGACAATGCCTGCCACTTACAGACAATACTTTATCAGGTCAATACAACAATCAACAGCCACACAGTAGCCACAGCTGTTTGACAATGCCTGCCACTTGAAGACAATACTTGATCAGGTCAATACAACAATCAACAGCCACACAGTACCCACAGCTGTTTGACAATGCCTGCCACTTGCAGACAATACTTTATCAGGTCAATACAACAATCAACAGCCACACAGTAGCCACGGCTGTTTGACAATACCAGCCACTTGCAGACAATACTTTATCAGGTCAATACAACGATCAACAGCCACACAGTAGTCACGGCTGTTTGACAATGCCTGCCACTTGCAGACAATACTTTATCAGGTCAATACAACAATCAACAGCCACACAGTAGCCACAGCTGTTTGACAATACCAGCCACTTGCAGACAATACTTTATTAGGTCAATACAACAATCAACAGCCACACAGTAACCACAGCTGTTTGACAATGCCTGCCACTTGCAGACAATACTTTATCAGGTCAATACAACAATCAACAGCCACACAGTAGCCACGGCTGTTTGACAATACCAGCCACTTGCAGACAATACTTTATCAGGTCAATACAACGATCAACAGCCACACAGTAGTCACGGCTGTTTGACAATGCCTGCCACTTGCAGACAATACTTTATCAGGTCAATACAACAATCAACAGCCACACAGTAGCCATGGCTGTTTGACAATACCAGCCACTTGCAGACAATACTTTATTAGGTCAATACAACAATCAACAGCCACACAGTAGCCACAGCTGTTTGACAATGCCTGCCACTTGCAGACAATACTTTATCAGGTCAATACAACAATCAACAGCCACACAGTAGCCACAGCTGTTTGACAATGCCTGCCACTTGAAGACAATAATTGATCAGGTCAATACAACAATCAACAGCCACACAGTAGTCACAGCTGTTTGACAATGCCTGCCACTTGCAGACAATACTTTATCAGGTCAATACAACAATCAACAGCCACACAGTAGCCACGGCTGTTTGACAATACCAGCCACTTGCAGACAATACTTTATCAGGTCAATACAACGATCAACAGCCACACAGTAGTCATGGCTGTTTGACAATGCCTGCCACTTGCAGACAATACTTTATCAGGTCAATACAACAATCAACAGCCACACAGTAGCCATGGCTGTTTGACAATACAAGCCACTTGCAGACAATACTTTATTAGGTCAATACAACAATCAACAGCCACACAGTACCCACAGCTGTTTGACAATGCCTGCCACTTGCAGACAATACTTGATCAGGTCAATACAACAATCAACAGCCACACAGTAGCCACGGCTGTTTGACAATACCAGCCACTTGCAGACAATACTTTATCAGGTCAATACAACAATCAACAGCCACACAGTAGCCACGGCTGTTTGACAATGCCTGCCACTTGCAGACAATACTTTATCAGGTCAAAACAACAATCAACAGCCACACAGTAGCCACAGCTGTTTGACAATGCCTGCCACTTGCAGACAATACTTTATCAGGTCAATACAACAATCAACAGCCACACAGTAGCCACGGCTGTTTGACAATACCAGGCACTTGCAGACAATACTTTATCAAGTCAATACAACAATCAACAGCCACACAGTAGCCAAGGCTGTTTGACAATACCAGCCACTTGCAGACAATACCTTATCAAGTCAATACAACAATCAACAGCCACACAGTAGCCACAGCTGGTTCACAATGCCTACCACTTGCAGACAATACTTTATCAGGTCAATACAACAATCAACAGCCACACAGTAGCCACAGCTGTTTGACAATACCAGCCACTTGCAGACAATACCTTATCAAGTCAATACAACAATCAACAGCCACACAGTAGCCACAGCTGGTTCACAATGCCTACCACTTGCAGACAATACTTTATCAGGTCAATACAACAATCAACAGCCACACAGTAGTCACAGCTGTTTGACAATGCCTGCCACTTACAGACAATGCTTTATCAGGTCAATACAACAATCAACAGCCACACAGTAGCCACAGCTGTTTGACAATACCAGCCACTTGCAGGCAATACTTTATCAAGTCAATACAACAATCAACAGCCACACAGTAGCCACAGCTGTTTGACAATACCAGCCACTTGCAGACAATACTTTATCAGGTCAATACAACAATCAACAGCCACACAGTAGCCACAGCTGTTTGACAATACCAGCCACTTGCAGAATATACTTTATCAAGTCAATACAACAATCAACAGCCACACAGTAGCCACAGCTGTTTGATAATACCAGCCACTTACCAACTTGGATCCGAACAAAAATGTCATTGTGGCAAGAGGTAGCAATTTTGTTTCTTTATATTTAATATTCATTAAAAACATTTTGTCAGTGACGTGTCCCAGAAACCAAAACTATTTCTTAAGTCGAACCTGGTTTGTGACAGTCATCAAATCCTTGGATACAAAAAGAGGGGCCAATCATCACCAAGCAACTACAGACCAGTTTCCCTCACGTGGGTAGCCTGCAAATTACTGGAACATATCTTTAATCACTTGTGTGAAACCCAACTCATAAACACCATGGAAGAAATCCATCGACACCTAAATCAAAATAACAAAGCTCAGATAGATGTGCAGGTGCTTGACTTCGGCAAAGCATTCGACACTGTAGCCCATGAGAGATTACTTCATAAAATAGAACACTACGGGATTAGAGGTAACACCTTGACATGGATCAGAACATGGTTAACCAACAGAACCCAACAAGTAGTTGTAGATGGAGAAACATCAGACCCTACATCAGGAGTCCCCAGGGCACCGTACTAGGCCCTTTGATGTTTCTACTCTACATCAATGACATTGGTGACAACATTAGCAAAGACACCAAAATCAAGTTATTTGCTGATGACTGCCTACTATTCCGACGCATTGCTAACTTCAATGACCAACAACAACTCCAAAAAGATCTGGATAGCCTTGTGAGCTGGTCTCATCAATGACAGATGTCATTTAAGCCACAGAAATGTCACACCCTACATATGACAAGAAGCAAAAATCATCATGATAATATCTACAGATTGATGAATGCCAACCTCTCTGTTGTACCCAACCATCCATACCTTGGAGTTGAAATTCAAAAACATTTGTCATGGTCTCTTCACATCAATCAAATAGCAAGCAGAGCTAATACAACACTTGGTTTTGTGAGCCCATGCCTCAAACACCGCAGAAAAGTCAGCAGGCTCACTATGCTTTACTGCTCCATCCATGAAGAAATTGCCCTTAACATCCCTTATTACATCACCCCAGTAGAACGACCACAAAGAAATAGACATAATCAGCCCAGGGCTTCCTTGCAATGCCGCACACAAGCGTACCACAAAAGTTTGTTCCCAAAGACGAGTGAAGACTGAAACGAGCTCCCAAATGATCTTATTCATCAAACATCATCATCCCAATTTAAGATATCCCTAGGAAAACATCTTTCATTACAATCTTAATTTCACGCTTGCATGGCACCGGCGTGAAGTCAAACTGCATGATGATGCCTAGCGGCGATATCCAGTCAACTTTCTGAAATTCTGTCATCACATTCTTAAATTTGTTAAAAAGTGTAATGTCACAATTCAACCATCCTTTTTTACCAGACTACCTCTCGAACTGAATTGACATTGCATGACTGGACATGGCGTAGCGTTATCGTCACCTGGGGGTACAAAGACTCAGGGTCAATAGAACAGAAATCAAGCAGAGGATATGAACCAAAAACTTTTCAATTCATTCAAGGATAACTAAGGCTACACCATGGAACAAAAGAGGAATCAAACCAAGGTCAAGCCCATGCAGAACATAAACTTGCTACTTACTTTATCATCAATGGTGTCAATCTTAGTCAGCACTACTCCGTCAATCAGTGGAGGTTGATCCATGTCTCAATGGTGTGCTCGATTGATTGCCTGGTCCACTGCTTCGTTACCACCCAAATAACTCCCTAACCAAGAGAACTAACTCAGAATGGTTGATTTCGATCAGCTGTTTGAGCAAAAATAGCAATACAGGAATAACAGTAATCATAAGGAAATGAAACATTTTCTATCTTTGTGCAGTTCTCTCTTGAAGGCAATAAATTGAATTCTGTTTTTTACATCGTGTTTCTACAGTGGAAGCTACGGCAACAGTTGAAAATAAGTTACAACGAGTTGCAATACGACAGCTGTTTCTTGCAGAGTGTTCTTGAAAGCGTGTTTGGCAATTAAAACGTGTAATTTGTGATTTTTTAAATTTCATTTCAACCAGCAAACTAGTGCTCAAAATCTAAACAAGGATGCTTAATAACTAACCTGATGAAGTTTTGGCTCTATGAATGCTCTATATTTCGAAAAAACTGAACAAACATAACCACAATATTCTGAATCTCAAATGCCAAAGTTGCCGAGTCATATTTTGAATTGCGCCCTCTCATGACACATTCCCCAAATCAGCATTTGGGACATGATTCTCATTCAGCCGGTTTCACATATTTGTGGATGCTCCAATTGAAAACCAAGAACAAACTGAACTGTTATACACTGCCCAGTTAAGTTAGGAATATATGTCTATGTAGAACAAAGGTTCACGAAATTAATTCCCTTCCAGTACAATCAATGATTATGTTAAAAAAATGTATCTTTAATAGTGTGATAAATTTCAGTAAACATTCTATTTGCGCAAAAAGTTATTACTGATGTGAATACTGATAAAGTTCGGAGAGGATACATTTTCATTGTGAAGTGAAAATAACGTATGAAAATATGGGAAATATAATTGTTTGTATTAATAACACCTAACTTCCGGTTTGATGACGTCACAGCATTAGAGTTATCCAAACGTGAACATTGTAATGGATATCATTACTTGGACTACGAAGATATGACAGGGATCAAATGATAGAATTAAATTAAAAATATGATCCTTTTCAAATTCTAAAATTAAAGAAAGAAAACTCTATTTGATGTGCCGCTAGGGGGCGCCCTTTCGGATGATGACGTCATCACACTTTTTTTGTGTCTGGTATTCCTCACTTTCATAATATGTGTATAGTAAAATGCTTCCACTTTTGACTTGCATTCGGTTTTTATTGCACTTCCGGTAACAGCGGAAGTGAAGGTCAAGCGGTTTTGTGTCTGGAACAAGAAATGTTTCTCAGGGCATAGTCTACAACCTCACGAAAAACCAAACACCATACTCTATGTAGTTCAAAAGATACAGCGCAAACTATTTTGTCAGAATTTGCCCTGAAATTGCTTGTAACTTGATACTTGATGACGTCATGATGACGTAACAAAATTTAGAACATCTTCGTAACATGGTACAAGTTCACACTAGGTTTCTGGATCATACTGTGACGAAAATGCCCCCAAATCCCACTTTTTACTTAAGTTTTATTACTCTAAATCTTACATATATTCTCCTAGAGATCTGGCATTTTTGTCTAGAAAATTCCTGTTGTCTTTTCAGGTATTATTTCTAGGTAGTTTTGAGTATTTTCCTGCCGAAATTCTGTGTGTACACTCACGTGTTTGTTTACACATATGTCAGCTGTGCTATAAATAGCGTGATGGTAAAATCCAACATGGCTGCCATTTGAGCAGCGCTTAAAACGTTTCTGATTGGCTGAAAGTTCTAAAATTATTTCTAGCAAACTGAGACTTCTAAAAAGTAATTTATATTATTAGGACGTTTTACTAAATAATTATGAGGCTTTTTCAGATGTGAAGTTGTCTAATTTGAATCAACTTTGAAAGATGGGCAAGTTTTGATGACTTTTCTGTCAGATTTCGTCTAGTAAGTCACAGCCTCGACTCCATGGGTGCGTGCGCATTCCTTCACTAACCCCTGGCCGTGATGTACACATAAATGATGCTGACTGGCTTTTCAGAGCGTACTGCGTGTGCATTTCGAAGATTGATACATTTAATACAAATCTTTGCTAAATAACGCAATGTCCAAACCTTATGTTTGAAAGGATGGATTCCTTAAAATCACAATTTTTAACATTTTAAAGATGGCGTCGGCACGTCAAACGGATAAACTTCTGCCTAATTACCGTATAATGTGCCATATTTTGATACATTTAAATTACACAATTCCAGGGGTTAAGATTGCGCAAGGCATGATGGGAAGCAACATGGTGCAGAAAGATCTCGTACCCATGGGAACAAGGTTGGGTAAGTCAGTGACTGTCTCATGATTATTCATATCTGTGACATCACTGAATTTTCTTCAATGAACTTAAAGGGAATATACATCATTTGCTTTTGCTGTAATTTTCAGAAATGAATGGAATTGGGGGGTTTGGAAATATATAGCAAATATAGTTACACTGACCTTTTGAGGTTTTGGGTTCAAAAATGCTATAAAAACCAAGAAAAACAATCATTTTCCTGTAGTCTGGTTCCCTGACTCCATATAAGAAGAAACAGAGCAGTTTACATACATTGGGGAATTGTAAGGTCAGAGAACCAGTCTAGCTGGCTTGTACCCGTTCATAGGTGTGTAATTGATTGCAAACAAGTGCGATGGTCAATTGGGGCCAGTATTTGGAAAAAAGCCAGTTTTTTCCAACGCTGGTCAGCCGACCAGCGTTGGAAATTGATACAAGAATACCACTTTTCTTGAAAATGACAGTATACCAGGTGCCATGATTTTACAGGATGCTTTACACTGTCATACACTTACAGTCCAGCAAGGTATTTCAAAATGATTTGGTAGTTTTATTTTTTGATGTTTGCAAATGTTGTATTTTCCCTTTAAGGTGGTTACATTCATTCACTACTTGTAAAAGTGAGCATTTGGGGGATTCTGTATAATTTATTCACATGTTTACAACAGATTTACTGTAAGGAATGTCTTGAAGATTAATTTAAGCCTTTTTGTGTGATATTTTGCTGTATAATTTTGGAGAAATTGAGGGGAAACTATCGCTATGTGAATTCAGTATACTGTGATTTTTACAAAATGGGCGTGGCCTATTTACTAGCGCGTACTTTTGATTTTCGCGCTGGGCCAATAGGGTATAAATAGGGCAGATTTTGTTCATTCTGGGTACGGTTCTTTGATGGGTGTTGGTCTACTGCTAGCTGCGAACTCTACTGCTGATCTCTAACTGTATTTACACATAGTGCTTTGGCCAGTTTGGGGAGCTGAGATCTTTACAACTTGAGTTGGGGGAGCCAACTTGATTAAATTGGGGTGCTGAGCTGAGCTGGGGAGTAAAGGTTTGGGAAGCAAAGTTTTGGGGAGCCAACTTTTGGGGAGCCAAATTTTGGGGAGCAAAGTTTTGGGGAGAAAAACTTTGGGGAGCCAGAGTCGGAGAGCGGATATCTAGACAGTTAGTAACTGTGGTTTACATCAGTTGTAGCTGATATCTTTAATTATTAAGACTCTGACAGGAGTCAGGGGATCTTGAGATATATTTGGAGTCAGGCTGCTGAGTCGGATTTCATCGAGGAATATCAAGAGAGGCCTGGGGCCTAAGTGTATTTTATTTGATAAGATTTTATTGCCGGACCACTCAATTAGAACACATTTGGGGGGGGGGGGGATCACAGAAATTTAAAAAAATGTTTCACTTGACACATGTTTGGAAATTGATAGAATGCAAGAAGGTTGTCATTCATTTGTGCATTCCCAAGTTGCAAACCAAGTGCAATTAAAGTGCATGGGGAGGGGGGATTATAGAAATTTCCAAAAATGTGTCACATGACACATCTTTGGAAATGATCTTTTCTTTTCTTCAAATTGACAGCATGTCAGAAAGTTGTCAACCATTCGTGGATAACAAACTAAATACAAAAATTAGAACATATGGGGGGATTTACAGAAATTTTCATTGACACAATGGGGAAGGGGGCCAGATTCACAGAATTTTCCTTAGTAACTCCTATGAACATCTATGGAAATTAACCGCACGCAAGGTTTGGACCCATTCGTGGATTTCCAAATTGCAAACCAAGTACAAATTAGAAGCATGGGGGAGAAGCCAATTCACAGAAATTTTCAAAAATGTGTCACTTGACACGCAAGAAGGTATGCGAGAAGGTTGTCATTCATTTGTGGCTTCCCAAATTGTAACAACGCATTGGGGGATTTACAAAAATTTCCAATATTATGTCACATGACAAATCTTTGGAAATGATCTTCTTTTGTTTTCTTCAAATTGAGAGCATGGCAGAAAGTTGTCAACCATTCAAGGATTCCCCAATTGCAAACTAAGTACAGATTGGAACGCATTTGGGAGGTGGCAGATTCACAGAAATTTCCAAAAATGTGTCACTTGACACATCTTTGGAAAGGATCTTATTTTGTGCATGCCAGAAGGTTGTCAACCATTCGTGAATTAAGTAAAAATTAGAACACATAGGGGAGTAGGAGGATTCACAGAAATTTCCAAAAATGTGTCACTTGACACACGTTTGGAAACTGATAGCATGCGAGAAGGTTGTCACTCATTTGTAAATCCCCTGAATGCAAACCGAGTACAAATTAGAGCACATGGGGGATTTACGGAAATTTCCAAAAATGTGTCGCTTGACACATCTTTGGGGCACGTATGTTTCAGCCCCATAGACCGTGCGTGCATTTAGTTCGTCTTCTCACGCATGCGCAATGGTTTCCTCCGCGTCGTCAGCTTGCAAACAGCGGTAGCAGACGACGCACTGAACGATTGTCTGGTTTTCATGTCTTAAAATGTATCCTTCTCAAACGTACTTAAAAGATTATTCAAACCAAAAATTATCAGCAGACCAAGTGAACAAAGATATAAATTGTCTCTACAGTGTGGTAACGGCGCTAAAAACCTTTTCAAATATATACAAAAAAGCAATAATTATGGACAAAAAACGTACAAAATGAAAAGGAAAAACATCGTTCGCTTTTGAGTTTGGTTTAAACATTTGGACAATTTGCCGGGTTTACCTTAGATCAGCCGTAGTACCATCGGAAAGGATGATAGATCATTTTCATTTTACAGGTGATTTGATGTAAGAAGGAAA